CTGTGACTTGAATTTTTTTTTTTTTTTTTTTTGGAATACATTTATAACGCGTTACACGAACATAGAGTCGAACCACGCGGGGCACAGCCCAGGAACACAAGTCAACAGGGGGCGTCAACAGACAAGACAAAGGGGGTTTGGCCTAAAATGAGAAAAGTAAATACGGCAACAGCCAGGTCGGAACAGAGTAGATAGAAACAAAATTAACTAAAGTGCTAGCCAATGCAAAAACAAAAACTTAGTAGGCGCCAAAAACACAGAACACATACACACTCCCCCGCAAAAGCGAGGCGGCCCTTATTCCTCCATTCCGTCTGCGGGTGGCATCCTAAGGGCGGGCCTGTAAAGACCCGTCTTCTAACACAAAGAGATGGGACTGCTGTGACTTGAATTGCACTAGGAAATACTTTTGTGTGGATTGTGTCAAACTACGTGGAGGAACGAGGTCTCTATGACGAGGTTCGGCTGACCGGTTAGATTATACTCTGAACTCGAATTTACTGCGCAGCTTCTTGTCATCACTCTGGAGCCTCCCTGAAGGTGAACTGATAAACTATACAGCAGTTCCTGCGGAAATTCCGACATCTGTATCATGCAGAAATTCCCGCAACTTCCCTACTTCGCGTCCAACACAGAAGCGCCCCGAACCCACCGACTCCCGAACGTAGATCAGCGCCACACCCCCAAAACGTCATAAAGCCCAGCGCTTACATTCCAAATCCAGCACCTCGCACTCCCAAAGCAGCACAAGGCCCGTGCGCAACCGTCGATCCCACTTCGCACAATGATCGCGCCGACGCGTATTAAATCAATTGAGCGCGCACTCGATGTTTCATTCCTCTAGTCTCCCGCGATGAGTATCCCAAGCACTCCAGTTCGTCGCGGTGACGATCCGTTCTCGTCTCCGGCTCGCGGTGTATGTTGGTCGCCTGGCGCGGCTACCACGCTGCTGGATGTATTTCCGCCGAATACGGATTTAATTGAGGGTGTGTTGGATGGAAATATTTCACCTGTGCGGCGCGCGTCACGTCCGATGAGGGGTGATCATTCGATATCTCGTGGTCCGTTTGTTCCTCCTACGAGACCTGTGCAGCGCAGTAGTAGTACCCAGGTAGGATCAATTATTTCTTATTGCTAGTAAAAGGCTCATTGGGCGTTGCAATGTTTGTAGTCCCACCACTCGTTCATTTCAGACGACATGTCCCGCTTCCTGGCATCTCCAATAAACCCATCTTCTCCGCCATCTACCCGTTCACAAATCTCCCACTCCCCAAACATGCCTTCATCTCCAAACCAACAAGATCTTTCCTTCTACGGCGCCAGTCTAGACGCCAACGAAATCGACAAATACTACCAACTAGCAAGTCCCGCCTCAGGTGGATCATATTTATCTCGCTCCGCTTCGTTCTACACTCGTTCTCCTGCATCACAATCGTTTCATCCGCTTTCTCCCATCCACGGCTCGCCAACTATGCAAACGTCGTCGCCGGTGTTCCCACCACCCGCCAGTCCACCCTCATTCGCAACTCGGGCGCATACATTCTCTCCTAATGACCAACTCTCGTCTCCTTTACCTTCCCCGGCGCATAATCGCTCACGAGTTGCAGTGCCGCTACCTCCTTCCTCCCCTCCTCCAGAGACATCATCCTCGTCTCCGTTCGAGTACGACCCGTTTGTGGTTCATCACGGGTCCAACGCTGCTCGAACCGGTACACTCGACATCTTGGAGGACACATATTCTGCCGACTACGAGCTTCCAACCATCCAACCAGAATCCGGGTCGGACAAGGTTTACACTCCTATCGAACGACGCGGAAGAATGTATTCGACTCGTAACGCAGCGCGCAGTAATGGTCTACTTGGCGTGACCAAAGCGCTACGCGTCAAACCCAAGACCATCGTTCGACCACAAAAAGGAAAAGCCACTGTTCCCGTCTCTAGCTCTACAGCTTCTAGATCCTTGACGTACGCGGAACAGGCTTCCGCATCGACCTCTTCGTCAGACGCACACCTACCGTATCTGTCTCCGGTATCATCTACTCATACCCCGGCGTCGACCAAGCCGCTTTTCGCAAGTTCGAGTACGTATTACTCTATCCTCTTCGCATCTACACAAACATCTAACCTTCGGACTTGAAAACAGCTTCTTCCCAGGATGTATGCGCCACACCCGACATCATTCTACCCACCAGATCCAATCAAGCTCTTTCCGCTCGATACATATTTCCTACACCTTCGACGACAACTTCACTCACAACCCCATCTACGGCCACCACCACCTCTCTCGTAACCCCAACAACTGCAGCCGGCCTGCTTTGCTCTCCCGAAATCGTCGACCCGTACTCGACTCCTGCAAATGGGCCCATACAAGCTAGACCCAAAGATATCGAACGAAAACATAAACGCGAGCGGTATACGAGATTCTTTACTCCTTCGCCTGTGCCCGTTCCAGTAGCGCACGTCAACGAGGTCCGCAATCTGGAAGATAATTTGCCGGACGCTCCGGTAGATAATCTCGCTTTGGAAGCTGCTGGACGGAGCATCGCCTCCTTGATGGATGGTACGATACAAACTTCTGAAAAGGTTGAGCCAAGTTTGGCTGGTAGGTCTTTCAGCGCTATCGTATGATATATTTGCGCTGATATTGAGACTTAAAGATTATTTGCCGGGCGTTGAAGAGGTCGCTGGTGTTGCTTCGACGAGTTCCAACGACCAATCCCCACATCTCGTGCTATCTTTGAGACGTAGCAAGCGTGGTCGCGGGATCGAGAACAATACCAACGGTTCGCCTCTTGCGAAAAAGGCCAAGGTTATGAGCAACGTAGCGAAGCAGGAAGACATCAAGGTCGAAATAGTGAGCGTTCCTCCTCACCTACTTTAGGTATTAAACTTCTCACATATTGCTCTATCTTATAGGATCCAGATCCTATGGAACTCCTCGTTCGTCCGACGCGGTTTCAGACTCGCGCAGTGGCAGCGCTTTTCAAGGCCCCAAGTACGTCGAGCTCGACGCATTCAACTGTGCAGAAACCAAGCTTGAAAAAGGGTCGCGGGCGATCGGGGCTTGCTTCTACGAGAGGGAGAGTGGCTGGCCGCGCTTCGAGTAGAGTTACTATCCAACAAGAGAGTCAACCGGCTCGGGAGATTGTCGAAGTTGATCAGACTGAGGCGTTCAAGGACGATAAGACTGATCCCTCAAAAGAACCAGAAGGACGCCAAACCAAAATTGACGAGCACAGTGACGGTAATTCTGAATATACGGATGGCGGTCCATCCAGTAAGTGAACACCATTACCTAGCATTTGCCTATCTTATACATCGTCCAGATTCCGCCACTCCCGATGACAAGTACATCGTTCCATCCGATTTACTTCCCCGCCCTGACACCAAGGTCGTGTTCGACTTGGACGGAAACATCGTACAACGCTTGTTTCCTAGACGCTTCCCGATTCACGAAAAGTACAAAAGGTGGTATCGTCGCTTTCCAGTTTCGTCTTATTTTATGGAGGAAGATCCCGCGAAGGCTTTTGTGTTGGGCGACGAGTGAGTTCTCCCGCATACATTGATGTTCTTCTGGATTGACTGTTGAGTAACACCTAGTGCACCCAAGAGCGCAAATATGCAACCTCGAACTCGGGCTGGCCATGCGTTAACCCCGAACAAAGCTCTCCATTTCAACCTCTACACCCCTCGTTTCGTTCGTGGAGTCAGCGCTGAAAAGGTTGGATTATGCGCGATATGCATCGAGCCCGTTTGGCGTGGTGGGGAGGGTAAAGCAGTATTACTCCGTACAAAGGCAAGTCGTATAACGGAAACCAGACTAGCCAATACTAACGCCACGTTTTTCGACCAGACATCCGTTTTGAGTAAGTTACGCCCGTCAGAGTTAACAGTTACACTAACAAAGACATAGACTATCATATGCAATACTACCATGGTGCGTCTTAACAAAACCTTCTTACGAACGTAATATTAAGGGGCTATGTAGGTATTTCCTCCCAAACAGGCCTCCCGTTTTCCCCTCCGGTAGCTTTCCGAACATCATCTCGCAAGACCGCGCATGCTCGCGAGAAAAGTAAGATCGAAGAGGGCAAGTGCCACTCGTGCGAACGTTGGATTCAGATCGAGAGTACTAAGCACGGGGATGTCCTGGTACGTAGATCAGTGTCGTATGAGCTTACCTCCAAACTCACACAGCACTTTTTTTAAGATTCCCGAGCTGCACTGGTACGTATCCTGTTTTGGTTATGGCGGAAGGCCTAATCAATTGTGCGTTTTCAGGTGGAAGCACGCAGCATCCTGCCACGGTACAAGTCGGCTCAAAGGTGATCAGGATCCCTACATTGAAGACAGTGTCTACCAACGATTGAGAGAGTACGAGTCGAAGTTTGTGACGCGCGAAGGAAGTAATCGAGAGCAGGATTCGACGACGGACGACGCGGGTGACTCTAGCGCAGGCGCGAAAGAACCGGTGTCCCTCGACAAACTAGATGAACATCATGGCCAAGGCTCGGGCAGCCCGCGGGCTATCACGAATGAGAAGGGGCTACAGGATAGCCCGAGTATTTTAGGAAACTTCTTTGGGGGTGCGGATTCGGACTCTGATCTTACGGACTTGAGCGACGACGGATAATTTATGAGTGGGTGTATCTGAAACGGCACTGTACGATCCGCATGTAACTAAGAACTCATTTATGTATTAAATATAACCTGGGCACTCATCCACCGGCGTGGGTCCAGCCTTGCTATCATTGACTTCTTGAGTGGGTTCCAAATGGTGGCAAGTACCGCATATATTCACTTCTCAACCCAAAGGGTCACTCTTCTTATATACCTATATCATGGCCGCCTTCGAGTGTGTTTTTGAGTAGCGCCCAAGCCCACCCAATGGGGACGGCATAGTACTTGTCGATAAACGAGGTGGCAGCTCAGTAGAGGATCGCTGGCCCTTGATGACACCCAAGCTGAGATATTTTAGTCAAGAGATGCAAAAAAATACTTGAGCACTGCCAGGATCGAACTGACGAACTTTGGTTCGACAATCTGACGGTTTGAATCCGAACAGTATCGAAGACCAACGTGGTAACCACTCCACTAAGCGCCCTTAGATTGTGAGTATTGTTCAGCCAATTCATCGCGTATCTCTCCCGTTTGGTCCCCCCGCCAACTTGCACTGGTGATCTCCAATCATCCTGTAAGATCGCATCAACGACGGCCACCCGCGCATGACCCGCTTCCTCATCGCTGGCCTAGGAAACTTTACTCATCCAAACACTAGGCATAGGTTAGAAGCGGTCTTGGCTCAACTGCTTGTTTTTGTCTAATTCATCTGTTCAACTAGTGTCGGACAAGTGGTTCTGGAGTCCCTCGGAGCACGATGGAATATACAGCTCAAATATGAGAAATCGTACCAAGCCTGGGTTGGTCGAAAGAGTATAGATATGCTGGGTGGCAAGGCCCCAGTAGACCTTACACTCGTAAAGCCAAGTACGTCTTGCTATTATTGCACTATTTAACATAGTAAAATGATATGTTCTCTTAGAGCTACTTATGAACATCTCTGGTCCGGCCATTACCTCAGTTCTACGATCTTTTCCCAGCGAACTACGATCACCTCGTCGGCTAATCGTCCTCCAAGATTCTCTATCACACGCGCCCCTCGCCGTCTCACCCAAGTTCAGCGGCTCTGCAAACGGACACAACGGCGTACGGAGTGTGATATCATCTCTCGGCGCAATCGCTTCGCAGTTCCCAACCCCTCGGCCCGCAAATGAAGACTTTTACCGTATTCGTTTGGGGATTGGTCGGCCGGCTCACAAGGATGCGGATGTCGCCGCGTTTGTACTTGATCCACTGGGTAGAGAAGAGTTGGGTTGGTGGTCATACGGCGGCGAAGGACTGAATAAAGTTGTCAAAGCGTTGGAGGATGTTGTCAAGAAAGAGGGTACGCTGTAGTTATTTATTGTGTACTAAATTATATACATATTCGCTCAAGCTACTATTCAATCCGCTCGCCTGTCGTACTGGACGAGGATGGCGAGCGAACTCGATTAAATTCGAATAGTTTAGGGCGTTCCACTTACTAAGGGCGATCATCCAAGAACAAAGTAACAAATCCAGTATTTATAGCAACGCAAATGAGATCGGGTGATCGAGATCGATCGAGAAGACATTGAGCGTGAAAAACTCAAACAAAGTATACTTATACCCTAACAAAGGGATAGATATGGGGTTGCGGGAGGGCTCGGGGTTGGATAGGGGTACACCAAATACCGACAAACGAGGTGGATTGTCTTATCATCCTCGCGGTTCCCCGGCCACTTATGGCCGGGTGAGTAGGTCGATTGTATTGCAGGCTGACACGCGGTGCTGGTATACACTATTGGTACCAATCGCCTTGCCACTCGGCAAACTTGTATCTCCTCGGGCATACGGACATGATTCGATTCCAGGTGACATAGATGCGTGACAATAGTAGCACAGAAGATTGGGTATACGGTATCTTAACTCATTTCCGGGAGTAGTCTCCTCGCTTGACCAGTAAATGTTAGCTCCTATGCCCCGGTCGCCTGCACAACAGACCAACCCCAAATCAGTCTCCCACCCAAAACAACCCAAACCAAAAAGTTACATACCCGCAACACAAGCACGCCGTAATGAAATCACAGCACCCAGCAAAACAATTCGCGATCCCTGCATGTGCACGAATATCGGCGGTACGAGTTTCAGCCTACGAGGGAAACCATTTGGTAAAAGCCTTAACCGCACCTGAAACGATCGCCTCGATACACCCAGCAATACATCCAATACAGTCCCTAATCAAGCCACCAATACAGGTTATGTATGGAAACGCGGAGTGACAAGCTCGCTTTCCGGGCTTCTCCCGTCAGGGAAGACCCTGCCATCCCTGTGGCTGCTTGCGTAAGTGACTGCTCGCATCAAACCCTTAAGGGCATGTTTGGTAGCTGGCTCGAAATAGTAAGCCACCGACTGGCCGCCGACTGCTAAGACCGCGTCGGGTTCTGTGTGCAAAGATTTAAACTGTTAACTATATATCTTATATGTATCTCACTGGCTTAGTAAGATCCAATGATCTTGATTTTATGTAGATCTCACATTTTGTTAAGACTAAAGAAGATCAAAATAGGATTGCATAAATCCGCTAAAATTCAATGAATTTGACACGGTGAAAAGCAATGTTAGGGAGCGAAAAAATGACAATGGTGTAAAACATAGCTTATAAGGCTATGTATTCCAGACTCACCGTCTGAAGTCCTCCAGTCATCAAGCTCAACGCTTTGCCGACACACTCCTAACTACTTCAGCAGTCTGTTTGGCGTCTGAAACGCCCGTTGTGATACTCGATCTACTTTAGCCATTCTTGTCTAACTTCATCGCATCCATTTCTGAAATATACTCAAGTAAGTTTCTACGCCCGGGCCTTTGTCACATCGCACGCATATTGCTCTTAATTATCATCTTTTGAATCGTGTAGCCTATATTTCTTTGCCCGTAGATTACAGCGCCCAGCTGCACTGATCTCAACAAGCCCTGGCGAGCTTGGGTAGCCCAGCGCGGACTGACAGATAGAAGCCAGAGCTCCAATATGCGAGGGTGATTCACTCCTGGTCCTCTGGAGTGGTACACAGCGACAAGGAAGTGCAGACGTCTGCAAGGCAGGCAAGCATGGCATGACGTTGCGTTTTGGCGACGAAGTTACTCACTGTTGAAAAAGTGGCCCGATGGGTGCTGCAGGATTCTTGTGTATAGCTCATGCGTGACGTACGGTGTTTGATGACAAGGCAGCATGCAGTGCAGGTTTTGAATGTTTAGCATGTAGGTATTAGATATATACAGGGGGGTCGCAACCGAGCGGCATACATATTGGGAGTATAGCCGGCTAGTTTGGAATAGCCCGTGTCGTGGGCATTGGTTTCGTGCATGGAAACGCGGAGCGCATACAGTAGATGGAGCAAATATAGCACGCAGTAGCACGCTAACCATGTATCACTGCATACAGTCTACGATGTGTAAGAGCGCGTTGAGTAACTGCAGGGTCTATGCAACCATCTGAATGGATAAAAATGTAAGGGGGCGAGGTAAGATTTGAAGGTGTCAGCGAGCGGCGGGCGTAGCGGGATGTTTTATGCGCACGGTGTGTCAGGTATGACTGTGTTTGTTTCCGTCCGCCGCACTATGACTCGGTCGTCAAGATATCTGAGTAGTAAAGCGAGCTTGCGAGCTCAGAGCTGAAGCTGTGAGCGATAAAGGAGAATTGGAGTGGGCTTACTGTTCTTAGAAGACGTGAATGCAACTGTCAAATACAGTGCAGCAGGTTACTCCACGATTGCGATGAGCAGCACAACAAGGCATTTTCACCATTATTCCACAGATTGGCGCGTCCAAGTCACGAGAATTTTTTTTTTTAAATCATGTTTATACGTCTGTGAAGCCCGTGGCTTATGTAGACCATACAAAGATGTAGAGGGAAGGGGAAAGAAACCTCGGACTCCACTGCGCCTCGCGCCAACCATCCCATAAGGCCCACTGACTTCTTGCTGCCCGCCAGACGAGCCTACGCCCCCCTGACGTCCGAGCCCTTGGCCCGTTTTAAGCTCGCAAGCCAGCCCCTTCCATACGACGTGCATCCTAATCTCAATTCTCTGCAGACAGTATACGGACTGTTCGGCGCCAAGTAAGCGGTATTGTGTTTGATCTATCGATAGCGCGTTATCCGTTGCCAGTGTTCAATAGTTTCAGTACTTCACCTGGTTCTCGGGTGTTACGCCCCACGAGAATATTTGCAAAGATAGTGCGTACTTTCTCGAACTAACAGAAATACCATTTAAACAACAACCTGTACTGCATTACTCACTGAAGACGGCAAGCTATATTGGTCTTTTGCCGCCCGTATTTTGACGCCTGATGATAACCCGCAAGTTGACGACGCTTTATCGGCACAGAGCGTGACTTATAGCTTCAAGCAATGGGCGAGTCGACGAGTATGACCAGCTCGTACGGCGTCAAACCTTTGAGATCCCGCCTCGTCCGCCTCGTCCTACCAACGTTATAGGCTGCCGATAGGTACTGACCCGTAAGCGCAATGAGAGAAGCGAAATTGTTCGCTATAAGGCTCGACTTGTTGCTCGTGGGTACACCCAGCGCCCAGGACAAAATTATAACGACACATTCGCTCCTGTTGTCCGTCTCGAGTCGATTCACATACTCATCACCTTAGCAAACCAGAACGACTGGGATATTTGCCAACTAGACGTCGTATCAGCCTACCTACTGGCTAAGGTAGACGAAGAGTTATACATGGAACAGATACCGTACTTTACTGATGGCTCCCAGAACGTTTACCGGATTCGCGGATCGCTCTATGGAATTAAGCAAGCCAGTAGGCAATAGAACAAAACCTACAACGCTGCACTTCGCCGTCTAGGCTATATTCCTTGTCTGACTGACTTGTGCATATACCATCGAATGCTCAGCCTGGATGGTGAGCTTTTTGTGTGAATTATCGCCATCCACGTCAACGATTCGATTGTCGTCGCCTCTCGCAACCACACCGACTATGTTATCGCTGAGTTACAGCGCGCTTTTGAGATGCGCGACCTTGGCGAGCTGCGTCACTTCCTCGGCATCCATTTTGAGCGCCAGCGCGACCTCGGCATCATCGTTATGAAGCAGACCGCATACATCGACTCTACTGTCAATTCTACAGGACTTAGAGACGCATACCCCGCTGACATCCCACTTAGTCCAACGACTCACCTGACACGCTGGGAAGGTCGCTCCCCGAACTTCCCATCTGCAACTCTAGTTGGTAAGCTCATGTATGCGGCTCTCCGCACACACCCTGACATCACCTACGCCGTCTCCCACCTTTCCCAATTCACCTCATGCTTCGGACCGGCTCACGTTACAGCGATCAAACATCTTGTTCGTTATCTTAAGGCTACCTCACGTGTGGGCCTCGTATTCCGCCGCTCTGAGGACTTTGGCGAGACCGGCTACTCCGATGCCAACTGAGGAACGAACTTGCTTGACCGTAAGTTCATTTCCGGTTATTTTTTTTTCTTCCTGGTGGTGCTGCAGCTG